TCCCTTTGAGGAGTGGGCAAGTGCTTTTGGTTATTTGAGAAAGAGACAGTAGCCAGGCTTGTGGCCATCAGTACTGGTCATGTTAGCAATGCAAGGACCACTTGGAATGAATTGCCCCTCATTCTATACCAGTGTAGAAGGCCTGATGACTACCTGCACAGAGGCTAAGCTATGCCAGAAAGAAGCCAAGAAGGAAAGGGGTCAAAGCAGAGGCCAATGATGACCAGACACCTCTTTCTTTCCTTCTTTCTTTCTTTCTTTTTTTTTTTTTTTTGATGCAGAGTGATATATAAGCCATGAAATGTTATAGATGACACTTAGGGAGGAGAAATGGAGATGGGACAATGAGAAACAAAGGGGGAAGAAACTGAAGCCTTGAGTATCCAAAAGTGAATAACTTTTAGAAATTAAAATCTGGGATGATAATAATTAAATTTGCCTAAAAAAATTCAAAAAAGTCTAGGAAGACTGAGGTTTGAAAGCAAAGTGTAGTTCAGTTATAGATAATGCAATTACATTTCAGCACATCTGATATTGCTTCACTTTGGTAAAACAGTCAATATGCAAGGACCAAACCCACTCCAGCCCACACTTCGGGTTGGATTCTAGGCATAGGGAACACAATAGGATTTGGTTCATGCTTTTATGTTTCTTATAGTGAATTTATGTAAAGACATTTACACTTCACTTAACAAAGAGTAGAGTCTAAATTCTTGATGTTTATACCTGAAGGGGGTGATGTTTGGTCCATTGGGAAGGAGTCTGGAGGTGCTGTACTCTATGGTTTCAATAGAGTCCACATTTCTGTCTCTCCTGCTAACCAGCCCAGCTTCCAATAAAGAGAAGGCTGGGTGATGGCAGAACTGAGTGGGAGAGGGCCTAGGCTGTGATGAGTTGAAAAAATATCTCCCAGGATACTAGTTCCCTTAGTGTTTTACATGAAGTACCTTTCTATGGTCCTGTGTAAATATGGCAGTGAATGTCTCAAACTGTATGCCTCTAGGGGGAGAACACAAGATGTTCCATTTCGGTGGAAGGCACATGATGTAAAACTTGATTAAAGAGATGTGAGGCAGAAACAATGAGGCTCGTTAACTTTCCTTTATTTATTCATTCATTTATTTTCATGTTGCATTTTCTGCTCTGTCTGGTAGAAAACTAATTGAAGGTTCTTGAGATACGCTAGAGGCACTCACGTACCCAGTAGTATTCCATTAGAGAGAAGAAGGGGTCTGTACTGAACCAAGCAATTTCTTTCTTTCTTTCTTTCTTTTTTTTTTTTTTTTTTTTTTGAGATAGAGTTTCACTCTTGTTGCCCAGGCTGGAGTGCAGTGGTGCAATCTCAGCTCACTGCAACCTTCGCCTCCCAGGTTCAAGTGATTCTCCTGCCTCAGCCTCCCAAGTAGCTAGGATTACAGGTGACTACCACAATGCCTGGACAGTTTTTTGTATTTTTAGTACAGTCAAGGTTTCACCATGTTGGCCAAGCTGGTCTCGAACTCCTGGCCTTAGGTGATCCACCCGCCTTGGCCTCCCAAAGTGCTGGGATTACAGGCGTGAGCCACCACACCCAGCCAGCATCCCAATTTTTCTTTGCAGAACTGCCCCTTCACGTATTGGACTCTCAGTTCTGCCTACTGGGAAAATTTTCATTCCCCACTGTTCTTCAGGGAAATGAGTTAAAGCAGCTCATTTACAATTGGTCCTAACACTCATATCTCTGGAGAACTTGCACAAACCAGGCAACAATTTTTCCAACATTAGACATCTGGTCTTCAGGAATTCTTAAAGAAGCCATATTTCAAATTCTGTGACAACAAAAACAGTATATTTCTTTTTGTGTTGATTTTGTATCCTACAACTTTACCATGTTCATTTATTAGTTCTAACAGTTTTTTGGTGAAATCTTCAGGGTTTTCCATACGTAAGATTGTGTCTTCAGCAAATATCAACAATTTCATTTGTTCCTTTCCTGTTGGATGCTGTTTTTTGCCTCTTGACTAATTGCTCTGGCTGGGACTTTCAATACTATGTTAAATGAAAGTGTCAAGAATGTAATCCTTGTCTTGTTCTGGATTTTAGAGGAAAGGCTTTCAATTTTTCACTGTTTAGTATAATTTTAGCAGAGGACTTGTCATATATGGCCTTTATTGTCTTGAGATATATTTCTTTTTTTTCTTTTTTTTTCGGGGGAGACAGTCTCACTCTGTCACCCAGGCTGGAGTGCAGTGGCGTGATCTCAGCTCACTTTGGTGAGGAAAACGTATTTAATAAAATAATATCAGAAAACTACCCAAGTCTTGGGAGAGATGGACATTCAGGTCCAGGAAGCTCAAAGAACCCCAAGTTGATTCAGTCCAAACATGTCCTCTCTGAGGCACATCATAATCAACCTGTCAAAAGTTAAAGACAAAGAAAGAATTTTAAAAGCAGCCAGAGAAAAGCATTAAGTCACATGTAAGGGAATCCCCATTAGCTATGAATCTCCATTAGACTATCGGATTTCTCAGCATAAACCTTACAGGCCAAGGGAGAATGGTATGATGTATTTAAAGTACTGAAAGAAAGAAAGAAAGAAACCATGCCAATTAAGAATATAATACCAAGAAAAGCTTTCTTCAGAAATGAAGGAGAGGCTGAGTGTCAAGGCTCATGCCTGTAATCCTAGTACTTTGGGAGGCTGAGGTGGATCACTTGAGCCCAGGAGTTTAAGACCAGCCTAAGCAACATGTGAGATCCTGTCTATACCAAAATAGAAAAAATTATCTGGGCATGGTGGCATGTGCCTGTAGTCCCAGCTAGCCGAAAGGCTGGGTAAGAGAACTGGTTGAGTCCAGGAGGTTGAAGCTATGTACCGTAGTGAGCCATGGCTCTGCCAGTGCACTCAAGACTAGGTCACAGAGTGAGACTCTGTAAAAAAAAAAAAAAAAAAAAAAAGAAAGAAGCTCTTACACAGAAAAACTAAGTGCTGGGATTGCAGACATGAGCCACTGCACTCAGCCTCATTCTATGCCTTTGCACCCTAATAGCTTAGCTCCCCAAAGTCCAGGTCTTTTAACTTGTACTGCTCTTGGTAGATTCAAGATGGTGGCGGTAGATAATTCCAGAGAAGAGACTTTACAATAGTATAATCTGGGCTTTCTTACTCCCATTTTCTTCTTCCTAAATAACATTATTTCCCTATCTTCCTCCCCCAACCTCCAACCAGAGAAAATATCTACACTTCTGTCCTAGATGTATTTTCTAGGAATCTTTCTTCCTCTTAGTTTTAGTTACGTAAACTTAGTGTATGTAGGAGGAAGGGAAAACAGTAAACTCTGTGTCTGGCTAGCTCAGTTGCACCTGTTTTTATACTTCTCACTCTAGCTGAACTCTGGAACGACCGTTATGTTATCTCAAACAGTTCTGTGGTATCTTGTGGCTGTTAGTGATTTGGCAAGAGAGCAGGCAATGACTGATCCAGATCTTTGGGGTAGGGAGAATAACACAAATCAAAAGCCTCAAAAGCTCTTATTCAACCATTATCCCACCTTTGGTGCTCAGCAATCTGTACTGGGCAACTATTTCCTTTTCTCACAGGATAGATTAAGCTAAGGCAATTCTCACAAAGAATTGCCTTCTTTCCTCAGAGGTTTCTTAGTCTTGACTTTATTCATATCTGTACACCTCCTTTTTACTTCTTGACTTTTCAAGGAGTTGGGTGATGTAGGAAGCAAACAGCCTCCCGGAATATGATATCTTGTCCCTGAAAGACTGTCTGCTTTTGGGACACCCAGCTTCATGATTCCTAACTGGAAAATCTCAGAACTTCCATGTATGTGGACTAATTGGATTAGTCTCATCTGTATTATTTTAAGGTCTTGCAGCTGGCAGGGCTCAATAGTGATCTATAATTTTAGGGTCTTCACCAAAGTTGAAATATGCCAGAATCAACTGGGTTATTAGCATTTTACCTGCTCAGAGTAAACCCTGTTTGATTGAGGGTACGATCTTGTAGCTACCAAAATTTTTTGCAGAAAAGCATCTTAATTTAAGGCATTAATTTTCTTAGTCTTAAGATGGAGCAGAGATCAGGCTTGTGTGTGTAGTTATGGTCTCACTGGTTTACAATGTCAGCCCTAGCTACCAGTGTTCCAGGTTGTGATTCACAGGTGAGGGATTGGACTTTGACTGTATTATAGACATGGCAGGTATGCAGAGGGTAATAACAAGTGCTAGGATAGGCTTTTTGACTTCAGTGCAGGTTCAGCTGGGATGGCTGAAAAAATTCAGGGTGAAATGGTCATACCGTAAATCTTACAGCTAGGCTGATCGTGGTCATGCCAAACCTTGTAGCATTATATGAAGAAGATGTGGGAACCCCTGTTTGGATGATCATGTTTTGGTAGCTGAAACATAGTCACTGGATTGAAGTTGAGCATTACTTTTCCAGAAGGACTGACAATAACAGAGTCAAATAGCAATGACAGAGGCCCATATAATTACTCCTAAACAGGGACCAGGTTGGGAGATCATTAAACTAATTGAGGGACTTGAATCAGGAAACATGACACAGGAAAATTTGTTATGAGTGCAGGGACATTTCACATAAGTGTGTGCTTCACTGCTAGGTTTGATTTCAAGATCAAAAGGGAGTGTAGGTTTGGTACTTTGGTTCCACTAACCAGTTCAGTTTGACAGGGGAGGTGATGCAAACCAGTACAGATTTGGTTCATCAAACCTGAAACAGTTTAGGATAAATTAAGCTAAGTGTGCATATGTGAGGGATGGCTCAGGAGTGAGGGGGGAACCAATGGATGGGACCAGCTGACATTTCAGCTCTGCAAATCTAGATAAGACAAGTGGAGAGAAACTAAGAGAGCCAGGGCTGACACAAAGACTCTTTCATTCTAACAACCATATAGTTATTTTCCAGGAAAGATGAAACCCAGGTCAGGAAAATAGCAAACAGATGGAAGCTTAAAGGATTATGAAAATATTACAAAGATTTCAAAATTGGTCTGAATTTTCTTGCATCTTTATTTTGGATGGTGTATCAGACAACTTCATGAGTTCCCATCTTCTCAACGCCTGTTTAAGAAAAACACAAATCTGTGTTATAGGTTTTGGAAGGTCTCCCTGGATTAATTTAGGTTTTTTTTTTTTTTTTTTTTTTTCCAGAGATGGGGTTTCACTATGTGGGCCAGGCTGGTCTTGAACTCCTGACCTCATGATCCACCCGCTTTGGCCTCCCAAAGTGCTTGTATTACAGGCGTGAGCCACCGCACTTGGCCCAGTGTAGGTCAGTTTTATCCTAGGGAAAGCACAGAGGATGCCTTCTATCTCAATGTTTCCCTTATTTTATTGATTAATCTCTCACTTTTCCATTCCCTTAAAACTTAATCATTGCTTAGTATATATGAGGCACTGCAAAGATCCACTAGGAATATAAAATAAACAAAGCAAAACAACATTTCTGCTTTTGAATTACCCCCAAGGCCACTCTTCAGCCAATTCTCCTGGGAATCGGCCAAACCACAGCCCCATTAGGTACCATTGACCTTCTATTTCTAATGATGGGGAAATAGTCAAGCGTGGAGGGTGGGGAACTTAGTTGTATAAAGCAGCAAGTTGCTCTGGAGGGTTCAAAGGTATGAAAGTGCAAGAATTTGGTTTGGGTGACCTTGTACATGTAAGATGGTCACGACCATTGTTGACTTACAGCTCTGGTTAGAAACCTTGGTATGCCATTTAATAATGTGACCTCAGGATGCTTGGCTACTTGTACTGTACTTGGTTTCTTCATCTGTCACATAAAAGTAGTGATATAAATCCACCTTGATATAATGTAAAATTATATCAATATATGTTAATTGCTTAGTGCAGTGCCTAATGCACAGTAACTGTCCAATAGATGTTGGCTGTTAGTTTCTCTCTGGTCATTTGATTTTCTGACTGTAAAATGAGCAAATGATCCTGACAGCCCACCCAACTTTGTTTTTTGGGACAGAGTTTTGCTCTTGTTGCCCAGGCTGGAGTGCAATGGTGCCATCTGGGCTCACTGCAACTTCTGCCTCCCCAGTTCAAGCGATTCTCCTGCCTCAGCCTCCTGAGTAGCTGGGATTACAGTCATGTGCCATCATGCCTGGCTAATTTTGTATTTTTAGTAGAGACGGGGTTTCACCATGTTGGTCAGGCTGGTCTTGAACTCCCGACCTCAGGTGATCTGCCCGCTTCAGCCTCCCAAACTGCTGGGATTATTGGTGTGAGTCACCATGCCCGGCCAACCCAACTGTTAAAACTTTTTATTAGAGCAGTTCTCTCTCTTCCCATCCAAAGCAAGGTTAGCCCCGGATCAATTTTCTCTATCTTAGGATGTCAACACCTCTTCTTTTACTCCCCCGAAGGACCAAGGACAGGATTAGATTCCTTACTTTGAGTGGATTTTTGAAACACAGGCTAGTTCACATTCTATTTTAAGCTTGAAGTTGTTAAGGTTGCCATTACAGCCAGTGAAGACAAAACTTTCACATCGTTTGGAGGTTCTGTTGTAGAAAAATCTAAAGTGAACTTCATAGCAGCTTCCAGCGACCATTTCCAATTTGCAGGGATCTGCATGAGAGGTTCCCATTGAGTTAGTGGGAATTGGTTAGGACTCAGCAGGATAGCTTATCTTTGTGAGCCCTTAAAAATTCCTAGCTTTAGCCTGGAAATATTCTCATATTTACGGACTCTTGTTTTTTATGTGTCTCATATTCAAGGACATCCGGTTTTCGCTTGGAATTAGAGTTACTTGGCAAGGTTGCCCTTGCACAATGCACATTGTTACAGTTCCAGGTTGTTGTGGTGAGCAATATCTTGAAAAACGAGAAGTAGTGATCAGTGAGAAAGGAGGTTGCACCACTAGCTTGTGCAGGGCAATGAGGTTCCCTACATTTTATATCTGACAGTTTATTAAAAGTACAGTATCCACCTGCTTCTTCACATCATCTTCATTTCCTTTTAATTGCCCACATAGGACATGCAATTCAGAATGCCTCCTCCCCAGTTTTCATACATTCACTATATATGTATACTTCAAGATTTAGGTAACCATGCCCGCTGCTATCCTCAAAGCAGGATGCATACTAAAATGCTAAAATGCATGACCTTGGGGTGATGCTCTTTCATCCTCACACCCTGTCATCTTCTCCCTTCTTGCCTTCCCTGAGCCAATCCCTCTGTTTTTATTGTTGGGAGTTGGGTAGTAAGTGTTTGGAACAGCCACAATCATGGTTGTATTGACAATCCAGCAATTGGTACCCACCTTACTCAAGCAGCCAATCTGCAATTTACTCTCTGGTAAAGTTATATGCATAATCTTATTTCACACTCACAAATACCCTCTGCAGCAGGTACTTTTCTGATCTTCATTGTATACATGGGGAAACTGAGACTAAGAGCATAATAAGTGGTTGAGTGACTTGTCCAAGGGCACACATTTGCTATGTCACAGGGCCAGAATTTGGAGTGTCTGACTTATTGTGGACACGGTGCCACTTTCTTGCCCCTTGGAAGCACTGAGCCTGCACACACTGTCTATGGAAGAAAGTCTCATCGCCTCTAACATTTACACTGTGAGGTCCTCTAAACAGGAATCATCTGTCCAAGATTTCTGTATATGCCCATAGCCCAGATTCTGAAAATGTCTTAATTTTCTCAGTCCCCAACCCCCTTTCTGTCTCATCCCAGTACACACTCTTCAATGGTCTGGGATCTTTGAAAATTTTCACAAAACCTAATTCAAAATCCTTCCAGTCCTTTGAACCTCCTCTAAAAGAGGTCTCCATCTGGAAAGGACTTTATGTCATTTCTTTTTTCTCATCGAACATCCAAAATACCCCTAGTGTAGGTAATGCCCTGAGCCAAAGGATTAAGTGTCTATGGGTATTGCCATGAAAGGAAGACCTTCCTGGATCACCTAGATAACACACTTTTCCCCCAGCACCTTCTCCCTCATTCATAATTGACCTTCAGATTTATTTTCTGCCTTAACATCATACCTTTGAGGTCTCCACATATCTTCTCAACAATGTTATTAATACCACCCAGTAGTAGGGTATTCAGTGAGCAGAAGATGAAGAACCCTAGAAGAAATCCCAGCTTGGCAGACTTCATGGTGCAGCAAGCAGCAGGCAGGATAGTTGTGGTATCACCTGATGTTATATTTTGGGCTTGATACTTGAGAGGGTTGAGCCCACCTACCCCAAGGGCCAGGACTGGACATTACTAGCTTTTGAGTTGAACAATGAGTGCTTGGGTACCCAGCCATGAAGCTGAAGGTCCCAAACTGATTAGACCCTTGATAGTGAGTCCCATGTTCATCTAGAAGCAATAGAAACTTAACGATCAGAGCTTCTGCATATATTTAATCATGAAGGGTAGAATCATCAGAGCAAAGAATTAAAAAAGGATTTCTTCCTTTCTCGTTTTGACCTTCTATGCAGAGAAGAAACTAATCATGGTACAAGAGAAACAGTGTAATAAGCACCATGATGATAGTAACAGGGTTAGTTATAATGTATTGTACTACTTCATTCCAGGTGCTGTTTTTCTTTTTTCCTGAGATGAAGTCTCACTCTTGTTCCCCAGGCTGGAGTGCAATGGCATAATCTCGGCTCACTGCAACCTCCGCCTCCCAGGTTCAAGCAATTCTCTGCCTCAGCCTCCCGAGTAGCTGGGATTACAGGCACGTGCCACCATGCCTGGCTAATTTTTTTTGCATGTTTAGTAGAGATGGGGTTTCACCATGTTGGCCAGGCTGGTCTTGAACTCTTGACCTCAGGTGATCCTCCTGCCTTGGTCTCCCAAAGTTTGGGGATTACAGGTGTGAGCCACTGTGCCCTGACTCAGGTGCTATTTTTAAGTAATTTGTATATACTTCATCATATATACCCTGTGAAGTAGGGACAATTATTACCATCATTTACAGATGAAATGGAGATTAGGTTACATGAACAAGGTCACTCATTTATTATGTGGTAGAGACAAGATTTGAACTTGGCTTCAGAGTTTTTGTTCTTAGTCACACTGCACTATATTATCTAGGAACATGGGGAAATCTTGGATTTGTTTTCTTCTAAAAGTTTTGAAATTTTGGCTTATATTTACACTCGAAATCCACCTGATGTTGATATTTTGGTAAGGTATAACATAAGGATCCTTTTTCATTTTTCAGTGGTCCCAGACCCATTTATTAATGAGTTCCTCTTCTATTCAACTGCAAAATAACTTTGCTTAATTATGTGGGTTGCTTCTGAGCTCTTTATTTCACCCCACTGTATATCCCCACTCCAAAGCCACGCTTAATCTCTTGAACTTTGTTTATCTTAGGATTTTGCCTTTTCATATAAATTTTAGTCAGTTTATCAAGTTATCCAAAAATCATGAGGTCAGGAGTTCAAGACCAGCCTGACCAACATGGTGAAACCCCGTCTCTACTGAAAATATAAAAATTAGCTGGGCATGGTGGCATGTGCCTGTAGTCCCAGCTACTTAAGAGGCTGAAGCAGGAGAATTGCTTGAACCTGGGAGGTGGAGGTTGCAGTGAGTTGAGATTGCATCATTGCACTCCAGCCTGGGCAATAGAGCAAGATTCTGTCTCAAAAAAAAAAAAAAAAAAAAAGATATTTTTAAGGGGAGGGATAACATTAGGAGAAATACCTAATGTAGGTGACAGGGAGATGGAGGCAGCAAACCACCCTGGCATGTGTGCACCTATGTAACAATCCTGCAAGACCTGTGCATATACTCCAGAACTTAAAAGTATAATAATAATAATTTTTTTTAAAAAAGAACTTGTTTTATGAATCTGGGTGCTCCTGTATTGGGTTCATATATTTGGGGTAGTTAGTTCTTCTTGAATTGAGCCCTTTACCCTTATAAAGTGTCCTTCTTTGTCCTTTTAAAATCTTTGTTGGTTTAAAGTCTGATTTCTCAGAAACTAGGATTGAAACCCCTGCTTTTTTCTGTTTTCCATTTACCAGGTAAATTTTCCTCCCTCCCTTTATTTTGAACCTATGTGTGTCTTTGCATGTGAGACAGGTCTCTTGAAGATGGCACACTGATGGGTCTTGGCTCTTTATCCAGCTTGCCACTCTGTGTCTTTTAATTGGGGCATTTAACCATTTGCAATTAAGGTCAGTGTTGTTATGTGTGAATTTGATCCTGTCGTCATGATGCTAGCTGGTTATTTTGCAGACTTATTTATATGGTTGTTTCATGGTGTCAGTGGTCTGTGTACTTCAGTGTGTTTTTGTAGTAGCTGGAAGTGTGATTTTTCCTTTCCATATGTAGTGCTTCCTTCCTTCCTTGCAAGGAGCTCTTGCAAGACAGGCCTGGTGGTGTTGAATTCTCTCAGCATTTGCTTGTCTGAAAAGAATGTTATTTCTCCTTTGCTTGTGAAGCTTAGTTTGGCCAGATACGAAATCCTGGGTTGGAAATTCTTTCCTTTAAGAATGTTGAATATTGGCCCCCAGTCTCTTCCGGCTTGTAGGGTTTCTGCTGAAAGATTTGATGTTAGTCTGATGGACTTCCCTTTGAAGGTGACCTTGCCTTTCTTTCTGGCTGCCCTTAACATTTTTCTTTCATTTTGACCTTGGGGAATCTGATAATTATGTTTCTTGGGGTTGATCTTCTCATGGAGTATCTTGGTGGGGTTCTCTGCATTTCCTGAATTTGAATAGTGGCCTGTCTTGCTAGGTTGGGGAAGTTCTCCTGGATGATATTCTGAAGTGTGTTTTCCAACTTGACTCTATTGTCTCCATCTCTTTCAGGTACCTCAATCAGTTGCCGGTTAAGGTTTTTTGTTTTGTTTTGTTTTTGTTTTGTTTTGTTTTGTTTTTTAAGATGGAGTTTCACTCTTATGCCCAGGCTGGAGTAAAGTGGCACAATCTCAGCTCACTGCAACGTCCACCCCGTGGGTTCAAGTGATTCTCCTGCCTCAGCCTCCAGATTAGCTGGGATTACAGGCACCTGCTACCATGCCCAGTTAATTTTTGTATTTTTAGTAGAGATAGGGTTTCACTGTGTTGGCCAGGCTGGTCTTGAACTCGACCTCAGGCAATCCACCCACCTCAGCCTCCCAAAGTCTTAGGATTACAGGCATGAGCCACCGTGCCTGGCTGGTTTAGTCTTTTTACATAGTCCCATATTTCTCAGAGTTTTTATTCATTGCTTTTCATTCATTCTTCTCTACTCTTGTCTGCCTGTATTATTTCAGAAAGATAGTCTTCAGGCTCTGAGATTCTTTCCTCTGCTTGGTTTATTTTGCTATTGATACTAGTGATTGCATTGTGAAGTTCTCATGTTGTATTTTACAGCTTCATCAGGTCAGTTACGTTCCTCTCTACACTGGTTGCTCTGGTTATCAGCTCCTGTGTTGTTTTATCATGATTCCTGGCTTCTTTGCATTGAGTTACAGTATTCTCCTTTAGTTCAGCAAAGTTCATTATTACCCACCTTCTGAAGTGTTCTTCTGTCAATTCAGCCATCTCAGCCTCAGTCCAGTTCTGTGCCATTGCTAGAAAGGTATTTTGGTCATTTGGAAGAGAAGAAGCACTCTTGCTTTTTGAGTTTTCAGGACTTTTGCATTGATTTTTTTCTTTATTTGTGGGCTTATCTGCCTTAGATTTTCTGAGGTTGCTGACCTATGTGTGGGTTTTTTCTGTGGGGTCTTTGTTGTTGTTTTCTGTATGTTTTTCTTTCTTTTTTTTTTTTTTTTGAGATGGAGTTTCGCTCTTGTTACCCAGGCTGGAGTGCAATGGCGCGATCTCGGCTCACCACAACCTCCGCCTCCCGGGTTCAGGCAATTCTCCTGCCTCAGCCTCCTGAGTAGCTGGGATTACAGGCACGCACCACCATGCCCGGCTAATTTTTTGTATTTTTGGTAGAGACGGGGTTTCACCATGTTGACCAGGATGGTCTTGATCTCTTGACCTCGTGATCCACCCGCCTCGGCCTCCCAAAGTGCTGGGATTACAGGCTTGAGCCACCACGCCTGGCTGTATGTTTTTCTTTTAACAGTCAGGCCACTGACTGTTAGCACCTGTAGGGCTGCTGCAGCTTTCTAGGGGTCCACTCCAGGCCCTAGTTGCCTTGACCTTTCCTGTAACTTAGGTGTCACCACTGAAGGCTGCAAAACAGCAAAGCCTGCTTCTCCTCTGGAAGCTCCATCCCAGGGGGGTACTGACCTGTTGCTGGCCTGAATGCTTCTATAGGAGGTGTCTGGAGATCCCTATTGGGAGGTCTCACTAGTCAGGAGAAATGGGATCAGGAATCTGCTTACAGAAGCAGCCTGGCTGCTTTTTGGTAGAGCACATGTGCTGTGTTGGTGGGGACCCTCCCTTGTCTGGACCTCCTAGACTCTCCAGAGCTGGTAGGCTGGAACAGCCGATTCAACTCAACTGCAGAGATGGTGGCCACTTCTCCCACTAGAAGCTCCATTTTAGGGCGAGATCAGAATTCTGTCCATATAAGCCTGGCCAGAGTGACCGAGGGCTTCCAGTAGGGAGGCTCCACCCAGTGAGGAGGAATGGATCAGGGTCCTGCTTAAAGAAGCCGTCTGGCACGATCTGACAAAGCAGGTGTGCTGCATAGAAGAGGACTAGTCTAGACTGCCGGGACTGTCCAGAACTGGCAGGCTGAAATACTGAGCTGATCAAACTGCAGAAATGGCAGCCGATCCTCCCGCTAGGCCCTGGAACTCCCTCCAGTTTCAGGCCGACTCAGCCTACTGCCACTGTGCAGGAACTCCAAACCAGCAGGTCCCAACTTAAGAGGTGCTGTGGAAGTGGGGCCTGCAGAATGATGCTGCTTGGCTCCCTGGATTCAGTCCCCTTCCTAGGGGAATGTACAGACAGATCTGCCCCCTTGTTGGGGATCCCAGGGCTGGAGTATGTAAAGCTTCTGTGTGTGCTGGAGTGGCTGCTCTGCTGAGGGTCCACACAACTCTGTGTATTGAATCCAAGGTGCTGGTAGTGTAGGCTCATGAGGGAATCTCCTGATCTTCGAGTTGCAAAGGTCTGTGGGAGAAGTGTGGTTTCCCAGGCAGGGTCTCACAATCACTCACTGCCTCCCTTGGTTGGGGGTGGGGGTTCCTTTGGCTCCATGTTGCTCCTGGTGGGCCATCGTCCCACCCTGCTTTT